AGCACAATTAAACTGTGTATAATTAATTTCTTTTAAATCGAAGTTATTCTATGCGCAACCTAATTAACTGCTGCTCTGCAGCGGCTTCATTCAAAATGAACATATTCGATCGCATCCCAACTTAATTAGTCGTTTCAGAAATGTGTCCGAAAACAATTTGCGGCAAATTGCAACGCGCCATAAATTTGAGCAATTCTTAGTTACAACGTGCTTTAAAAAGTGAGCGAATCTGTGCATAAAAAGCAAAACAACCTGCCACCAAATGAATTTGCATCAAACAGCGCATTAAAGGCATAAAAAACTAATGGGCTTGAATAATTAAGAGCTGACCTGCATTTGTCTGCTAATCACAGCCCATTGCAAATGGCCGTCTGTCGAATAGTTGGACAGCCGTGCCACGCACTCTTAATTTGGTCATTTGTGACAATCAGCTAAAAACAACGATATAGTTAATGGGTACACATTAACACACGCACTTTACGAGTAATGACATTATACAAGTGAGTTAGCCACGAAGTTATTTGTGTACAAAACGCCTCGGTAGCTATCAAACTTGCAGATAGATATTCTGTGGTCATGTTCCTTTTAAATTTGCGATACTTTTAAGGCTAATTTAAAGACAGCCCAATTGGTTGAACTGTGCAGTTCAATTAAAGCGCTGACAATAACATAACACGCTTAAAAAGCAGATTATGGCGGTTGCATCGAAATAAAAATTAAGTGCATTATTTACCTTCCCCTGGCAAACAGACCAGATTTACCATGGCGTACATTTTCATTTCATTTGCAATATGAAAATCCAACTGTTAAACTCATTTCAATGAAGTACGCTTTTTGAGGGCTTTACTTAAGTTTGCATTAACTATTTATGAATGAGTTTGCCAGTTCATAGTCGTAAGCCCACATGGCGGAGGCACTGACAGGTCAAAAGATACGACTCTGTGGCAGTCTGTCATCCTGGCCGCTGACAGTTCCCTTTGCCACATAGCACATAGTTCACAGCTCACGGCATGTGACGCATTTGCCACTGCGCTTCATTATGCAGGTCTGCCTCATCCATTCCACCGTTCAAGCCAGCCCGGAATCCCTGGCTTGCCGTATACATATGCATCCATCCTGCCTTTCCAGCACTCGTCCTTTGGAGCCAGGGATGGGCAGCTAAAATGGGGCTATAGAGGGTACCTATCTCAAGATCTGGTAAGTTGCATTTAATACGTTACATTTTTAGTATCAAGCTTTGTTTCCTTGCCATTCCATTCACTAACCAAACATGCAAATTCACAAGATGAATCCTTTAAAAATATTGTTTTTTGTAACGTTATACTTAGGTTTAATCATGGATATTTAATTATCCATATCTTAGCACAGCACTACCAACTCATCCAATAGTCCAAAAAATGTGGTATTATAGTGTGAATATTTTCACATTGTATCTCTAATTCGTCCGCATTTGGATACATTTTTCGTTTTGATCAGTAACTGAAACGGTGCTGCGGTGCTACCCTGTAACTTGAGTAAACGCGGCAGCCTTGCCACCTCTGTTTGCCACCTGGCACCACCCTTTCATCCAGATCGCCGGCATTGTTGTGGGTGGGGCAGCTGCATGGCCGCATTATGTAATAATGCATGGGCGTTTGGGCCATGGCCTCGTTGACCCCATCGCATGGCTGTGTCAAAATTGTTCGACAAGCTCGTGTACTTGAACTGTCAACCTATTTGTGTGCGTGGGTGGGGCTTTGGGGTCTCGACGTGTTGTTGTTTTCGTGTTTACGTGTGCTGTTGCTCTTATTTTGGCGGTGCAGGATTAACTACCGAGCGGTTTGGCGCACTTTTGCATATTTATAATTGCTAGTCACGTTTGGGGTCCAAGTTTGTTACGGCTTAAATGGTTCTATAAAGTTGAAGCGATTTTTAAATGCTTTTAATACTGTGAGGGTGGGATGGAAAAAGATTTTTATACTTTAAGACGAATATCGAAAATTATTCACATTTTAAAGTAAATATTTAGGAGTTCATTATTGTGGTTGATCGATTGCTAAGCTAATATACTTGTATATTTTTAAACCAATAATCGTTCAAGGTTATTACTAAGCACTCTTTTTGTAGCAGCCTTTAAGTTTCACTAAAAACTAATGCTGCTGACTGAAAACCAAACCCATTTCCATAGTTTCAACGCAATCAAAAGCGAAATAAACAAAACTATAGTTCAATGTAGTTGGCAGTAGGGCCAATTAACCCGAAATTAATGGATAAACAAACTAATAGGCAACCTGCCCATTGAAACCGAGAAACGAAATAAATTAATTGCAGTCGCCAGGGGCATCGCCGCAGGTGGGCGGTGCTATCTGTCGATGGGGTGGTGCTTTGGGTGGTGCTGGCCTGGTGGTTCAGTGATTGGGTGGTGGGGGTGGTGCTGGGTCGTAGGCCCAACTGGCGCCATGCCGCAATTTCGGCCGACGATCCGAAACAACAGATGGAAATGGAACTTTAATTAAAAGCCCAGAGCCAGCAGCAATGATAGAAATAGCGCTGCAAGGGAATATAAAATAAGCCAACATTCTAATAAGGAAAATAGTTACTCACACACACACTCACAGGCGCCCACAAGATGAACTGCACACTGAGAGAAAATATTGGCCAGCTCTTAGGATGTACATAAATACATTAAAGCTGCTATGATGTCATGGAAAGCATTTGACTGGTGCAACAACTATCGCATAAAACATTAGAGCTTGCAAAGATGCACTAATTTTGGTTTCACTCGCACCAATTTCTCGCAGTGCCTGCGCACACACATGCACCAACAGGACAAACAGCGGGCGCTCTCCGCTATTTAAAGCCCATTTGCAGTTGGCCTTATTTCAGTGGGGATCTGGCCCAAAGAGGCCATATCTGGCGCTTAAAGGCGTCCGGGCAACCGCATTCAGATGCGATGATATGTCAGCCGCCGACTAAGCACGCTCCAGATGCCTCGAAGGCGGTTCGACGAGGCCTGTTTTCGCAGCTGGTTCGCTTCGCCGAGTTGGCTGGCTGCATTAAAGCCGGCTGCTCAACGTGGCTAAAATTAATCGCGAGGAGCTCTGAAGCGGGCTGCTTGACAAATACAAAGACGGCGACAGGTGAAAGGACGCCTCGAGTGGCTGCCATTCAAGACTTTTGCCAAACAAGGGCCTTAAAGTTCGGGACGGGCATTCATCAGTAGCTGTACTGGTGTACTGCAGTTTCAGGGCCTCTGTGCCATACAATTTAATTAGTCTAGTAAGACTTCCTCGTTTTCTTATTCTATTAGGGGAAATAATTAATGAATTCATCTGGCCTAAGTGCAGTGCCATTATACTTATATTTATATACATCCACGCCGGCGTGGATAACTATGACGCGATGAGGATGATGACGACGTCGTCGGGTCTGTTGATTCTCGACGTTGATGAGTCGCAAGAACAACAGAAACTTATCTCGCGGCTGGAAATTAGGGGGCTGGTTGGTGTGGCACATGTGGCAACGGAACGTGAGTACCATGATTACATAGCTGATGAAATATGCATTATCTGCTGGTTTTGGGACAAAAGTTTTGCGTGAAAATAAAAGTTGAGAGCGAACTAAAAGCCCCCAGCAATTCGTATTTGCTCTACTAAAAGGGGGAATATTTTAAGAAGATACAGTCGAGGCTGCAGCAAGGACAAATAATTATTAAATTCATAAAAGTATTGAAGTGGCTATTCATTTTGGTGGAAAACTGACATCCAGATTCTTAGAAAACAAATATAATATATTGGCATATGAACTAAGCGCAAAATTATCGCATATACTCATTTTCTTTTGTATACGAAAAACGAGCTAATACCTCACCCGTTTCAGGTCTAAAAATTCCACAGAAAAATATTGTTTTTCAAAGCTATTCATAATCTGAAGTCATCGCGGATTTCGCTTAAGTGATTCTATAATTTGCCTGCCTTCCTAAAGTATCTATATGTGTCCTAGCGTCATAAATCTAAATTAAAACGTTTAGGAAGCGAAGAAAATCCAACGCCTACAGCGAGATTATCACCCTGGTCAAAAATATACGGCATTGTTGGCATTGTATAGATAAGCGACTAGGCCTAAACCGATGTATACCGATTAAAAATATACAGATTTCAGCAAGAATGCGGTTTGTCTTTCGCTTTAATGGAACTCGGGGATTACCTCAGTGGACCGCAGAAATCTGTCCATCAAAGTGTGTGCAAGTCACCTCCGCACTTGGAGCCGGAATTCCTGCACATCCCATCCCCCCAATCAATTGCACATTGTGCACGTAGCCACAGGAGAAACTTTGTGCGTGTTTTGGTTGCAATTTGGGCAGGGGGAAATGGAGAGGTCGTTGCTAGGGTTTTGGGGCGTGTGAAAGCGAGACCATTGAAACCGAAAACACTGAATGAAAACTTTGTGGCACAGCCTTGGGATCGAATTGAATTTTCGGTGGCATGCCACCGGGCCACAAACTTTTGCGACCCTTGTGGCCATGTAGCTGACCCACATCAACTGATGGCAAGAGTGGGGGAAAAGTGAACCGAACGGAAAAAATCTGCGAGTGTCTGGCACACGGATTTTTTATGGCATGTGCTGGGCCAAGAAGGGAAAAGCTCTGAAAGCAACTGGGCACACTTCATAATTGTATGCGAGTTCTCTCCAAACTTCTGCCTGCGAGGCCAGCAAAAGTTGCAAGGTGCAAGTGCCAACGTGGCGTATACGTCATAAAGGCCATAGACCACAATTTGGGCTGGCAGTGCAAGTGGTTGTGGATTGAATGTGAAGCATCTGTGGGGAAAAATGCTCGCGCAAATTAAATGGAGGGAAAATCGATTTAAGTTGCACTTTGTTCATTAAGCCACGTTCTGTTGATGAACTGCAAATGTAATGGGGATTTGGGCGGAATTTCTCGGTATTTCTGAATTTCTGAATTTCTGAATTTCGATTTAATTAAATCACCAGTTTTTCATTTAATGCATAAATACATTAAAAATACATTAGAGCCATTTGTATCACTCATGGTAGTGTCATTAAAGTTAAGTCTCACAAGCCAATTAAATTAGGGCTCTCGGCAGCACAGCCTTGGCTTTTCCAGTGCACTTTATGTGATTTAGATACCCTTGCCCCGTGTTAATTACCGCAATAAAGATACCCAGGCCCTTGAATCCACACTCTACGGCAGCAATCGGTCATTCAGAGTCAAACAAGATACAGTATCCGAGCATCTGGCCTGCGTTTGGGTGGTGCAAAGTTTTGAGGTGCTGTCGAAGTAGGTGTGTCCGGGACAGGTGTACACATTTCCGTAGAAAATACCAGCAGCCGTGAAACAGTTCACATATCTGGAATGGAAATATATTAGTAGTGGAAATTAAATTAGCACATAGGGAATCTTATTGTGGGTACGCACTGCCTGCAGGTGGTTGAGGTAACTCCGCCATAAGGATATTTCCCGGCTGTTTGAATGCTTCGGCAATACTCGGTGGCATCTGTGATGGTCGTGGAATCGCAGTTGGGCGCACTTGATCCGGAACAGGATACTGCGTATGTGGTGGGACTACCGCAGATATTGGAATTTTCCACGTTGCATACGTAATCAGTGCCACAACTTCCGCCAATCGATGTGCTGGGTGTAGAACTACCTAGGCACAGCGCAAAGCTATTCCGACCGGTGCAAGCAAAACGATTATCCGTGCTGCACTTATTGCATCCTGCGCAACCTGCCGAAGATGCCACCGAGCTGCAAATGGGCGTGCTCTCCGTGCAATAGTATCCGGTGGGGCAGGTGTACAAGGATCCGATGGGTTCGCTGGCGGAGGAGCAGAACTGGAACTCCGTTTCCGATATGCAGGACACGCCATTGGTGTTGCACGTATTGCAGGCTGCCTGGCAGCCCAGGATGCAAAATACCAGAACGATCAGTAGGCGCAGCATCTTTGGATGAAACTGAGGAAATGGAAACCCTGCAACCCAATTTATCTAGTGGGACTTATCTTATCCCAGTGCAGTTTGCTAATCTCTTTTTCAATAGATTTGTTTTCATTGTTGCGCTCGCATTTTATGCACGTGACTTAAACACTTAACACAATTATATAAATAGAGTACAAGTTCAAATATAGCTACTACAAATATGAATCGCATAAAGCCTCGCACTGTTTCAATAAGAATGTTTTGATATTTTAGAATTCCAGTTATGTATATCTTTGTTTTCGGCACCACACAGAAGGTCACGTTTTACCCAGTTGATTTAATTAGTTTATCAGTTTATGGTGCACATAATAAAACTCTTTGCATTGAAACTTATTCAATGACGAACTCAACTGCACATCCGTTTGGGTGGTGCAAGTTTTGGTGGTTTGTGCCTACTTCCATACGAGAAGAAGACGGTATCTTTATTTATATAAAAATCAGGATCATTTATTTTTAGCAAGGATTCTAATCAAGACTCCCAGTTACTATGATATTTATGGACTGGTAAGTGTCAAGCTGGCGATTCCATCAGTGCACCTGGCTGGCACTTCGGTGCCACAATACCTGGATGAGCTATTGAAGTAGGTTTGCCCAGGACAGTAGTAGAGGCCTCCCGCCCAGTTATTTGCATTCAGAAAGCAATATATGTACCTTATAATTGGCGTGTTTAATTTAGATACAAGACGTAATAGAATTTTAGGTACTTACTGCCTGCAGGTCGTGTTGAGATCAATGCCATAGGGAAATCGACCGTGCTGCTGGACGATGGAACAATAGGTGGTAGGTGTTACTGCGGAGACATCCAGTCCAGTGCCAGTACTATCACCTGGACAAGTGGCCTGTGACCCCGCCGCTGGACTACCACAAATATACGGATTATCGAAATCGCAGACATAGCTGGAGCCACAACTTCCGACGATCTGGGAAGGAGTCGATGTTCCCAGGCACAGGGCAAAAGTCGTCGCGGTGAGGCACGCAAAAGTGTTGTCACTATTGCAGGTGCCACAACCTATACAGGATCTCAGGGCCACATCTGTGTTGCACGTAGCGTCATTTGCCGTGCAATAATAGCCCGTGGGACACTTGTAAACGGGGCCAAAAGGCAAGGCGCTGCCGGAGCAGAATTGAAATGCGGTGTTCGATATACAGGCCACATTGGACACGGAGGCACACACATTGCAAACCGCACGGGCACCGAGTATATGGATGCCCAAGAAAACTCCGAGTGCTAGCCAGATCAGCATCTTTGCAATAAACTGGCTATATTGGTGTCAACTAGTTGGCTTTATGCTCTCGCAGCTATCTTATCACTCGGTGAAACTAGAACTTCCAACAAAGAGTTCTTATGGCTAGGGAATTAATAAAGTCAATTTGTCCAATGATAAAAAGCAGTTTTTGTTTTAATACCCCATTCAATCTATCAAATTACTTTTTATAATATTGCATTAGGCACATGTTGCCGGCTTAGTCACTACACAGCTGGAAGTGGTGGCACTGAAGTACGGTTTGCTTGAAGGACACTGCCAGGAACTTCCGGACCAGGTGGAACCCTTGCGAAAGCAGTAGACATACCTAAAATAAAGAATTGTAGTAAAAAACAAGAGTTCGTCGACTATCAGATACCCGTTACTCAGCTAGTGGAAGTGCAAACGAGAAATTTCAACATTTTCTAGAATATAATTGTGCACGGGAAAAAAATGATACAATGAAAAAAAAAACTTACAATAACATAAGTTGAGTTATGGAGTTAAGAACTTCAGCCTTAGGGCATTTCTTAATTTTTTTAAATTTCTACAACATCAAAAAAATTACAAAAATACTTAAAAAAAAAATAAATTTTAAATTTGAATGCAGTTTTTTAGAGAATTGCGCCAGAATCATTTAGAGGTATGCCACTTCAAAATCCGATTAAGATCAGCTGAGTTATGGAGTTTAGAACTTCAGCCTTGGGGCATTTCTTCATTTTTTTGAATTTCTACATCAAAAAAATGACAAAAAACTTAAAAAAAAATAAATTTCTAAATTTGAATGCAGTTTTTTAGAGAATTGCGCCAGAATCATTTAGAGGTATGCCACTTCAAAATCCGATTAAGATCAGCTGAGTTATGGAGTATAGAACTTCAGCCTTGGGACATTTCTTCATTTTCTTGAATTTCTACATCATCACATACAAAAAATGACAAAAAACTTAAAAAAAAATAAATTTCTAAATTTGAATGCAGTTTTTTAGAGAATTGCGCCAGAATCATTTAGAGGTATGCCACTTCAAAATCCGATTAAGATCAGCTGAGTTATGGAGCTTAGAACTTCAGCCTTGGGGCATTTCTTCATTTTTTTGAATTTCTACATCAAAAAAATGACAAAAAACTTAAAAAAAAATAAATTTCTAAATTTGAATGCAGTTTTTTAGAGAATTGCGCCAGAATCATTTAGAGGTATGCCACTTCAAAATCCGATTAAGATCAGCTGAGTTATGGAGTATAGAACTTCAGCCTTGGGACATTTCTTCATTTTCTTGAATTTCTACATCATCACATACAAAAAATGACAAAAAACTTAAAAAAAAATAAATTTCTAAATTTGAATGCAGTTTTTTAGAGAATTGCGCCAGAATCATTTAGAGGTATGCCACTTCAAAATCCGATTAAGATCAGCTGAGTTATGGAGTATAGAACTTCAGCCTTGGGACATTTCTTCATTTTCTTGAATTTCTACATCATCACATACAAAAAATGACAAAAAACTTAAAAAAAAATAAATTTCTAAATTTGAATGCAGTTTTTTAGAGAATTGCGCCAGAATCATTTAGAGGTATGCCACTTCAAAATCCGATTAAGATCAGCTGAGTTATGGAGTTTAGAACTTCAGCCTTGGGGCATTTCTTCATTTTTTTGAATTTCTACATCAAAAAAATGACAAAAAACTTTAAAAAAAATAAATTTCTAAATTTGAATGCAGTTTTTTAGAGAATTGCGCCAGAATCATTTAGAGGTATGCCACTTCAAAATCCGATTAAAATTAGTTGAGTTATGGAGTATAGAACTTCAGCCTTGGGACATTTCTTTATTTTCTTGAATTTCTACATCATCACATACAAAAAATGACAAAAAACTTAAAAAAAAATAAATTTCTAAATTTGAATGCAGTTTTTTAGAGAATTGCGCCAGAATCATTTAGAGGTATGCCACTTCAAAATCCGATTAAGATCAGCTGAGTTATGGAGTATAGAACTTCAGCCTTGGGACATTTCTTCATTTTCTTGAATTTCTACATCATCACATACAAAAAATGGCAAAAAACTTTAAAAAAAATAAATTTCTAAATTTGAATGCAGTTTTTTAGAGAATTGCGCCAGAATCATTTAGAGGTATGCCACTTCAAAATCCGATTAAGATCAGCTGAGTTATGGAGTATAGAACTTCAGCCTTGGGACATTTCTTCATTTTCTTGAATTTCTACATCATCACATACAAAAAATGACAAAAAACTTTAAAAAAAATAAATTTCTAAATTTGAATGCAGTTTTTTAGAGAATTGCGCCAGAATCATTTAGAGGTATGCCACTTCAAAATCCGATTAAAATTAGTTGAGTTATGGAGTATAGAACTTCAGCCTTGGGACATTTCTTTATTTTCTTGAATTTCTACATCATCACATACAAAAAATGACAAAAAACTTAAAAAAAAATAAATTTCTAAATTTGAATGCAGTTTTTTAGAGAATTGCGCCAGAATCATTTAGAGGTATGCCACTTCAAAATCCGATTAAAATTAGTTGAGTTATGGAGTATAGAACTTCAGCCTTGGGACATTTCTTTATTTTCTTGAATTTCTACATCATCACATACAAAAAATGACAAAAAACTTTAAAAAAAATAAATTTCTAAATTTGAATGCAGTTTTTTAGAGAATTGCGCCAGAATCATTTAGAGGTATGCCACTTCAAAATCCGATTAAGATCAGCTGAGTTATGGAGTATAGAACTTCAGCCTTGGGACATTTCTTCATTTTCTTGAATTTCTACATCATCACATACAAAAAATGACAAAAAATTAAAAAAAAAATAAATTTCTAAATTTGAATGCAGTTTTTTAGAGAATTGCGCCAGAATCATTTAGAGGTATGCCACTTCAAAATCCGATTAAAATTAGTTGAGTTATGGAGTATAGAACTTCAGCCTTGGGACATTTCTTTATTTTCTTGAATTTCTACATCATCACATACAAAAAATGACAAAAAACTTAAAAAAAAATAAATTTCTAAATTTGAATGCAGTTTTTTACAGAATTGCGCCAGAATCATTTAGAGTTATGCCACTTCAAAATCCGATTAAAATTAGTTGAGTTATGGAGTATAGAACTTCAGCCTTGGGACATTTCTTCATTTTCTTGAATTTCTACATCATCACATACAAAAAATGACAAAAAACTTAAAAAAAAATAAATTTCTAAATTTGAATGCAGTTTTTTAGAGAATTGCGCCAGAATCATTTAGAGGTATGCCACTTCAAAATCCGATTAAGATCAGCTGAGTTATGGAGTATAGAACTTCAGCCTTGGGACATTTCTTCATTTTCTTGAATTTCTACATCATCACATACAAAAAATGACAAAAAATTTAAAAAAAAATAAATTTCTAAATTTGAATGCAGTTTTTTAGAGAATTGCGCCAGAATCATTTAGAGGTATGCCACTTCAAAATCCGATTAAAATTAGTTGAGTTATGGAGTATAGAACTTCAGCCTTGGGACATTTCTTTATTTTCTTGAATTTCTACATCATCACATACAAAAAATGACAAAAAACTTAAAAAAAAATAAATTTCTAAATTTGAATGCAGTTTTTTAGAGAATTGCGCCAGAATCATTTAGAGTTATGCCACTTCAAAATCCGATTAAAATTAGTTGAGTTATGGAGTATAGAACTTCAGCCTTGGGACATTTCTTCATTTTCTTGAATTTCTACATCATCACATACAAAAAATGACAAAAAACTTTAAGAAAAATAAATTTCTAAATTTGAATGCAGTTTTTTAGAGAATTGCGCCAGAATCATTTAGAGGTATGCCACTTCAAAATCCGATTAAGATCAGCTGAGTTATGGAGTTTAGAACTTCAGCCTTGGGGCATTTCTTCATTTCTACAACATCAAAAAAATTACAAAAATACTTAAAAAAAATAAATTTCTAAATTTGAATGCAGTTTTTTAGAGAATTGCGCCAGAATCATTTAGAGGTATGCCACTTCAAAATCCGATTAAGATCAGCTGAGTTATGGAGTATAGAACTTCAGCCTTGGGACATTTCTTCATTTTCTTGAATTTCTACATCATCACATACAAAAAATGACAAAAAACTTTAAAAAAAATAAATTTCTAAATTTGAATGCAGTTTTTTAGAGAATTGCGCCAGAATCATTTAGAGGTATGCCACTTCAAAATCCGATTAAAATTAGTTGAGTTATGGAGTATAGAACTTCAGCCTTGGGACATTTCTTTATTTTCTTGAATTTCTACATCATCACATACAAAAAATGACAAAAAACTTAAAAAAAAATAAATTTCTAAATTTGAATGCAGTTTTTTAGAGAATTGCGCCAGAATCATTTAGAGGTATGCCACTTCAAAATCCGATTAAAATTAGTTGAGTTATGGAGTATAGAACTTCAGCCTTGGGACATTTCTTTATTTTCTTGAATTTCTACATCATCACATACAAAAAATGACAAAAAACTTTAAAAAAAATAAATTTCTAAATTTGAATGCAGTTTTTTAGAGAATTGCGCCAGAATCATTTAGAGGTATGCCACTTCAAAATCCGATTAAGATCAGCTGAGTTATGGAGTATAGAACTTCAGCCTTGGGACATTTCTTCATTTTCTTGAATTTCTACATCATCACATACAAAAAATGACAAAAAACTTAAAAAAAAATAAATTTCTAAATTTGAATGCAGTTTTTTAGAGAATTGCGCCAGAATCATTTAGAGTTATGCCACTTCAAAATCCGATTAAAATTAGTTGAGTTATGGAGTATAGAACTTCAGCCTTGGGACATTTCTTCATTTTCTTGAATTTCTACATCATCACATACAAAAAATGACAAAAAACTTTAAAAAAAAATAAATTTCTAAATTTGAATGCAGTTTTTTAGAGAATTGCGCCAGAATCATTTAGAGGTATGCCACTTCAAAATCCGATTAAGATCAGCTGAGTTATGGAGTTTAGAACTTCAGCCTTGGGGCATTTCTTCATTTCTACAACATCAAAAAAATTACAAAAATACTTAAAAAAAATAAATTTCTAAATTTGAATGCAGTTTTTTAGAGAATTGCGCCAGAATCATTTAGAGGTATGCCACTTCAAAATCCGATTAAGATCAGCTGAGTTATGGAGTTTAGAACTTCAGCCTTGGGGCATTTCTTCATTTCTACAACATCAAAAAAATTACAAAAATACTTAAAAAAAATAAATTTCTAAATTTGAATGCAGTTTTTTAGAGAATTGCGCCAGAATCATTTAGAGGTATGCCACTTCAAAATCCGATTAAAATTAGTTGAGTTATGGAGTATAGAACTTCAGCCTTGGGACATTTCTTTATTTTCTTGAATTTCTACATCATCACATACAAAAAATGACAAAAAACTTAAAAAAAAATAAATTTCTAAATTTGAATGCAGTTTTTTAGAGAATTGCGCCAGAATCATTTAGAGGTATGCCACTTCAAAATCCGATTAAGATCAGCTGAGTTATGGAGTTTAGAACTTCAGCCTTAGGGCATTTCTTCATTTTTTTAAATTTCTACATCAAAAAAATTACAAAAATACTCAAAAAAAATAAATTTCTAAATTTGAATGTAAATTTTTAGAGAATTGCGCCAGAATCATTTAGAGGTATGCCACTTCAAAATCCGATTAAAATTAGTTGAGTTATGGAGTATAGAACTTCAGCCTTGGAACATTTCTTTATTTTCTTGAATTTCTACATCATCACATACAAAAAATGACAAAAAACTTAAAAAAAAATAAATTTCTAAATTTGAATGCAGTTTTTTAGAGAATTGCGCCAGAATCATTTAGAGGTATGCCACTTCAAAATCCGATTAAGATCAGCTGAGTTATGGAGTTTAGAACTTCAGCCTTAGGGCATTTCTTCATTTTTTTAAATTTCTACATCAAAAAAATTACAAAAATACTCAAAAAAAATAAATTTCTAAATTTGAATGTAAATTTTTAGAGAATTGCGCCAGAATCATTTAGAGGTATGCCACTTCAAAATCCGATTAAAATTAGTTGAGTTATGGAGTATAGAACTTCAGCCTTGGAACATTTCTTTAGCTGATTTAAGTGCTACAACATTTGTAGTTCCTGAGATCGAGGCGTTCATACGGACAGACGGACATGGCCAGTTCGACTCGGCTATTGATCCTGATCAAGAATATATACTTTATATGGTCCGAAACGCTTCCTTCTGCCTGTTACATACTTTTCAACGAATGTAGTATACCCTTTTACTCTCCGAGTAACGGGTATGAAAACCCTTAATATTATCTTTAAGCTACTCACTTCAGGCAACTGGAATCATTGGGATATGGATAGCGACCCGTGGAGGCCTTTTGGGTACACAGATCATCGATTACGGCGAAGTAGGAACATGAGGCACTTGTGCCGTTTGGTGAGGCCACACAAGGATTGCCAAGTTGTAAGAGGCACACCTCTCCAGTGGAACAGGAAAATTCATAGCTTGTTATTTCATTTACAGCACTGCAAAGTGCAAAAGTTGTGGGACTGGTACAGGCGAATGGAATAATCCCGTCACACTTCTTGCAGTCATTGCAGGATGCAAAGGCCTCCGTGGAAGTGCACTTCTCTGTAAATCCCGTACAATACGTATTATTTGGACAGGTATAGACGGCACCTGACGGAATTGCGTTCGCCGTGCAGTTTTGGTACTGATTTTTGGACACGCAGGCTACATTGCTCTCAGATGAGCAGATATTGCAATCGGATTGGCTAAACTTCACTAGAATGCCCAGCGAAATTAGCAAACGGAGCAGGTGGCGCTGCATTTTCAAGAGTAACTGGAGCTGTATCCAAACTGCAGCCAGATATAGGTATCTGTCTTATCCAGATAGCTACTTGAGATTAGAGTATTTGAACAGTAATAGAGCTAATCATATCTGCTTTTCATTGTCACCTCGAAAGTTGTATACATTTCCAGTTTTATGAATCGCATTTAAATTACCATGTAAGACATGCAACAAAGATAACAGAATCACGTTTACTTAAGATTTTATTGTAAAGCCAAAATATGTCAGCTATAAAGCTAATAAAAACCTACCATTCATTGATGTTTATGTATTGCTTAAAAATAAGAATAATTATTTAAAAATGGAGTCTATAGTACATTTCCCTTTGAGTTGAAGAACTCAAATTTGACAACGCCAAAAAGTATGCTAGCCATTTCAATCCGCCAAAGCCAAGAGCTTATCTAAATTGGAGCAGTAGCAGTAGCGGTAGCCAAGGTTCCGCCTGCCGAGGTCTTTGGGGATTAAGAGCAGTCTGCATGCTCCAAAATAGCTGCCAAAAAAACGCTCTATTTAAGCCACCTGCCTGCTAGCCACAGCATCAGTCGGAAAAAACAATTGCAACCAGAAATGTCGCCTAACCGTGTTTGCCCGCCACTTGGCCTGCCGCTGCTGCTTTTCCTGCTCGGTTGTCTGGTGTCCTCGACTGGTGTCCTCGCCACCTGCAACGTCTGCAGCGCCGTCAACAACCTGACCTGCTATTCCTCGACCCAGATGCAGGCCTGCCAAGTAAACGTCCTGTCCACGGCCACGCCCACCGATTGCCCCAGCGGCTATGTCTGCACCAGCGACTCGAGCGGAGTGCTCTGCCAGCCGGAGGACTCGGCATCCGGCATTCAGGCGGACTGCCAGGAATGCAACAGGTGCGACGAGACCCAGACATTCGCCTGCACCGGAACCCAGAGCTTCGCCCTCTGCCTGGGCACAGCTACCGTCCAGGATTCGGTGGGCACCTGTGCCTCCGGCTATGTGTGCAACATCGACGACACCCAGATATGCGGTCTGCCAGCGGATGGGGTAAGTTTGCCTCTTCTTCTTTTGGCTGGAAATGGGGTGTTTGCCAAAGAACAGGTGCATCAGGAAGCTGAGACTCTAAGCGGAAATTAAACTTTCAAGAAATTCTATTCAGTATGATGTGATACCAAGTGACAGCAAAATAGGAGCTCTTTCTATGCAACTTAAACTGCTTTCGTAAAGCAGGAATTATTATAAATGATTTTAAGGAAACCAAGTGGTGCTGCGAAACTAACTAGACTTATTACTGAGAAAAGGTATCTGATATGTCTCTCGCTTAAATAACTTTTCCAAAGAGTGTGGTAGTACGACTTTCCTCTGCCCCAAGATAAATAATAAATGTGCCTGACTCTCCAGGTGATGCCGACCTGTTCGTATGCCGATGACTCCACCACAACCACGGCGAGCGGCACCACCAGCTCCACCACAGCGGCACCACCATCCACCAGCTCGGCATCCACCTACTGTGCGGCTGTTCAGTCGCAGGGAAAATACGCGGTCGGATATAACGCGTATACGACCTGTCGCCAGTATATCGAGTGCTCTCTGGTTGGCGGAAGCTGGATTGGCCAGACCTACACCTGTCCGGGATCCATGTACTTCGACAGTGGCTCCAATATGTGTGTGTCCAACATGCCGTCCACCTGCTCCACCACTGCAACCACCACTTCCACGACGCCTGCTGCGCCCACGCCCAGTAATCCGGAGGCATATTGCCAGGCGATGCAGGCGGCGGGCTACTACCCGGTGGGTACGGATGCCAGCACCACGTGTCACCAGTACATCGAATGTTTTCTGAACGGCGGCACTTGGGGTGGCAATATGTACGCCTGTCCCGGTGGCCTCTACTACAACAGTGCCAGCAAGACCTGTGTCTCCACAGTGCCCTCCACTTGCTCCAACACAGTGGCCAGTCTAACCCTCAATGGAGTGTCTTTGGATTAAAAGATGAATCCCTAGGCAAAGAGTATTTGACGGTTTATTTAAATTGCGCTGAAACTACAGACAGTAGCCGGGATTTACGTAGACACAACTCTGAGTTTGAGCAACGAACCAGGAATCCGTTGGGCAGTTGTATTCCGCGGAGTTGATAAGAACGTTATTTTTAAAATAGCAACTAACGTAGCTGTAAAGATAAGTGGTTAAATAAAATGTGTGATGTGTACAACTTGACGCATTATTCCGTACGCACCGCTGACAATAGGGATCTGCAGGAATGCTGGGAAACAGACCTGTGGCATTTATTCGCGCACACATCTGGGCGGCAGTTGGAGGTATCACTGTAGTGGGCGTCTCGGTGGTTACAGTAGAACCAGTGCTGCTTTCAGTGCTGCCCACAGTGCTACTTTCAGTGGTACTTTCAGTGGTACCGTCGGTGGTCACGGATGCCGCAGTGGTGGTGTCCACCAGCTCGTCATTTATGTCACAGGTCAGCGTTTGACCCGCGACCTCGGGCACACAAATCGAAGTGCTGCTGGCATCACAAACCGTGCCCGTGGGGCAGTAGCCAAACTTGCCAGTGGGTCTAGTGGCTCCATAGCACATCTGGAAGATGCCACGACTCTGGCACGCGAATAGGTAATTTCGATTGGCATTGCACTGGCCGCATTGCGAGGTATCACCGCAGCTTGGAGGACGCTGGCTGCTCTTCTGAACACAAATGGCCGTGAGATTGGTGCAGTCGAATCCTTCTAGGCAATGGTATAGCTGATCACGGTGAGGGGTTCCATCTGAAAAGTCACTAAGGGTAATGAACATTTCTTAAATTATTTACTGCCTTTTATTACCGCCAAAGCACAAGTAAAAGGAAGTCGAGTTGATGCAGGCCACTTGATTTGATTGACAGACATTGCAATCGGACACCGTTTGGGCCACCATAAAAGCCAGAAGCACCTGTGAAGCATATTTGTTTTTCACTTTTCCGTTTTGTATAGCCACAAGAGCATCATTACCAACACCAGTCCTTTCACCACACTTTCAATCCTTTGAGACATTTTTGGACTTCCGAACTGCTACCGCTCACTGTCAAGGTTCTGTTGGTACTAAAGTTGGCTTATGATAGCTACATGTCTGGTCTCCTATGTTTATCTACTTTTTACTTTTCTCTGCTAATTGTTTTATTTGACTTGGCTTTCCACATGATTGCGGTTTCTTGGTGTATCATCCTCCGATGGGTATGTTTCCAGAGATTCTGATTGATATGTGGGTGCGGACATTGAGCACAAGTCGAAAACGGCTTTAATTACCAGACTTCGATGGGTGAAACGGATTGCGCGAAGAAAGTTTTTAGTAACTGGTGTCAATCCTAGGGTTAATGACTGCTTACAGTATTTAATTGCTAATTAAATATTAAAAGGTTTCGGAACGCAAGTACACTGTTTGTCTGTTTCGCCACTATGTGATGTCATTGAGTGCATTTTCCTGGTACTATGCTATCAGGATCGTATATTAGGAGGTAAGACCCCATTAAACAGATGCAATTATTTGCACATGGCGCCTATTTAAAAAGCGCATGATGGCGATAGCAGTTAGTCTTTTTGAAATACTCGAAGCCTGCAAAATGCACTACACTCAGCTGCTGAGAGTTTTGGTAACATTGCACAGCTATCCTTTAAACTGTCGTTCAACCAAGATGTTTTCTTCAGTGCTCCATCGTGATTGTATCCTATGTAGCAGTCGGTGTCCTTGGGAACATCACATGCAATGTGTGCCAATCAAATAAAGTCAAGTGCCTGAACGAGACGCACTTCAGTTTTTGCGGGAACGGCGTTCTTCCGGACCAAGTGCTAAAGTGTCCCGTCGATCAGATTTGCACCGGCCTCCAGAAGATCTGCTGGCCCAAGGGATCGATTTCAGCTTCCTGCACCCCAGATGCCGAAGTATCGTGTCCGTCCTGCAGGGAACCAAACATGTTCGTCTGCACTAGCCGCACCACCTTCCAAATGTGCGATGGAGACAAGCTCACCGGCCAAGCGATAAAGTGCAAGGACAACACCTTCTGCTCCATTAGTTCCAAAAAATTTTGTGTTGACCGGTGTGAAATAACGAAATCTGAAATCGAGTGCGACAGAGAGGCACCTTTGGATGCGTGAAAATGAAGCACCCAAAAAATACAGGGAGCAATAAAAGTTATTTACTTATTTGCAGAGAATAAATATTTCAATTCACAGTTTTATTTTCAAGTGCGTTTACTAAATAAAATTGCGTTGACTCAAGCTAAGTTTGTGCATCCGGCATACAATGGCTGTACTGTACCACAATTTAAAGTATCAGCATCGAAGTAAGGCCTCTGCGCTTGGCAATTATAGAGTAATCCTGTCCAGCTTCCACTCCTCAGAACACAGTAGATGTAGCTAGAAAAATCCAGAGAAATAGTCATTTAAACTCATTACCTATTTAACCAAATAGGATGTGGTACCTAGTACACTCTGTGTCATTGGGTATGGGATAGCGACCCGTTGAGTTGATTCCCTGGCAATAGGTGACTTCATTGAAGGCTGGAGTTGTGGCAGTACTCTGGGTAGTGCTTTCGGAAACAGTGACAGTTGCGGTGCTATCCGTCGGGATGTCCGATGAAGTTTCGGAGGAGGATCCAGTGGAGGTATCCCCTGTCGATCCTGTCGAAGAGTCAGCGGTGACTGTGGATGGTTCCGTAGTGGCTGTGACAGTGGGAGTGCTAGTGGGAGTGGCAGTGGGTGTGTCGGTGGTAGTCACTGATTCAGTGGTGCTTTCCCCTTCGGCTTCCAAGACTCGATCACATATATCTGAGTCGGTGGAATCGCAACGGGAAACACAAGGACTTCCGCTGCCTGCACCGCTAACACTGCAGACAAAATCATCTGCACAGTCGAAACTGTTGCCGGAAACTACTCCATTGTCGCAAATAGCAAAGGTGGTCCTTGAGGTACAGGCGAAAGTTGTGGTATCTGAGCAAACCCCGCAATTGGAGACATCACCACAGCCGCGATCTACATTTGTGTCGTTGGGCATACAAATAATCCCGTAGGTCGTGCAAATGGGTTTCGATTCGGGGCAGGTGTAGTTGATAGTCTGGTCCCGGACACCTGGAAGTAGGAACTATGATTTCGAAGATCATTGAAAGTACTTATAACATACCATCGTAGCACAACTGGAATACCGATTCACCGATGCAGCTGTGCGCATCCTCACACTGGCCACATGCGGCACTAACAATGGTCGGTGCCACAAGAGCACTTAGTAGTACGCTCAGTATGCACGCTTTCATTTCGAAATGACGATTAAGTCTTTAAGGAGCAACCGCCCAGCTTTATAAGCCCCGAGCTGGAGTCATATCTCTGAGATGATCTCGGGGCCATAACACTTATCTTTCAATGCCGCGGGATGCCATAAACGTGATCTTCCTAGTAGCGCAATCTTCGGGTAGCACGGGAGCGCTACGGGGCAAACAGTATCATATATTCCAAGATCTTTAGCATACGTAATCCGCGGTGTAAAACGCTGAGGCTATCTGCTGTTTCCCAGAGCCAGTTCTTATAAAAGCCCCGTAACATTTGGTTAGCACAGTAGTCCGTTAGTCACAGTCAAAGTCAACACAATGCAACAGTCCCAGATCCTGAAAAATCTAGTAAGCACGCGGTTTATGCTCTTGGGGAAAACCTTTATCAAATTTATCGCTTTCAGTGCCTCATTGTGGTTCTTAGCTCTGTGGCAGTTATGGTCCAAGGAGTGTGCAACAGCTGCCAGACCAGCAACAATGTGAAGTGCCTGAATGAAACGCACTATAGCTTGTGCTCCGATAATGTGGCGCCCAACCAGGTGCTCCAGTGTCCGGATAACAAGGTCTGCACCGACCTGGCCATCATCTGCATGGACAGCGGTGTGGTGGAACCCTCCTGCTCGGCCACTGCTGATGGATCCTGCCCCACCTGCGATGGAAACAGCATATTCGTCTGCACCAGCCGCACCACCTTCCAGATGTGCGATGGCTCCAATCTGACTGGCCAGGTCGCCAAGTGCAAGGACAACAAGATCTGCTCGATTAATTCCGGCAAATACTGCGTGGATCTTTGTGAAGTGGGGGATTCCGTCGAATGCGACAGGGAGAATCCGCTATAGAACTATTGAATTAATTTTAAACACCTTTACTACCTCATATGTAAACTGCGAAATAAACAAAAACTTTTGCAACTTAATTTTATGAGACTTGAAGCATTTTAACATTTCAAACTTTCTAGATAACATTGATCATTAAGATTGCCTATTAATCTTATCTACGGCATATCTAAGTATATGTCAGAAAATGTTTTACAATTGCTAGATATGGTATACTCGTATTTTCAAATGGTGAATTAAATGTTTATGTAATAAACTTGATATTTTTCTATGAATCTATTATTGCACTCAAAAATTACATTTTATTTCTTCAATTCGATCAGAATCAAGTGGTGTTACGAGAAAAATTCCTGAATCCGTCTGCAATCCAAAAATAATTGTAATAATAAATGTTGTATCTGCTATTCATGTTAAATACCCTACCAAATTTATTGTCAGTAGACAAGTCAACAACCGAAAAAAGTTCTTAAGAATTCCAGCAATAAAACACTTGTTATCCCTATTAAGCTAAAAGCTTATCGTTGTTTTGGCCATCTCATGTTGCCAGGGTTAAAAGCCTCGCAAATTCTATTGCGAAGGTCAGTTCTTTCGCCATAAAACAGTGGAAACAAATTGGGAGGTATCTGCATTTATTTCAAATATGCCTTAATTTAATTGACATTGACCCAATTGCGTGAGTGCTGCGTAATCAAATTAGACATATGAAGCAATGACGTCAAAATGGTGTAAAGCTGTTATACATTGCCATTACCAAAACATTTTTGTGATGACTGTATGCCGTAAACAAATTGCTCGGCACTTTCATGCTCCGATATCGGGCCTACGGGTGGTGTTGCTCCACATTTAATGGGCGCCCAAAGGTGTGGAAAACAAATTCGCAACAGGAAACAAACGGTGGAAAGCGAGAGCACAGAGATGGGACCACCTCCCATCGCAGCCAACCATCCCAACCATCCCAACCATCCAAAAACATCCGAAAGGCCCCCGGCACTTTGATGATTGTGGCGCATCTAATTGTTGTGACGGTTGCGTTTTGTTATTGTAATTAATATTTAGCTAAACTCAGTGGCGTTTGGGCTTACTAAAACTAAAAAGCGAAAAGCGTTGAACAAATTGCGGTCATTAAACTTTTTGCCGCGCCAAGTGAAATAAATTGTCACCCACGCAGCTGCTACCTTTCATTACAAAGTCACAAATCAACGCGAGCGGATCTGCCCAGCTACTACCGATCTTCCAGTGGATTATTCATCATGTTGCATCTGCAACTGACTCTGCTCTCCTGCCTTCTGGTCCTGGCCACCTGTAAAATTCAAAAACAAACTCCGACAAACAGTTGGCGGGATATGCTCTTCGGCAGCAAGTGGCTAACTCCTGCTCCACGCTGGCGCGAATCCAAATGTGGGTCTTAAAGCTGGCTAGGCCTAGCAGTTAGAGTAAAATTGATTTAAATTCTGTGTAACATATCCACCAGTTCTGCCCATCTTCGCCCTGGTACCCATCGGTCCTGGCAGCTGTTCAGCGCCCTCGGGCGAACAAGGAAATTGCATTCCCAGCAAGGATTGTGTGCTGCGGAATGGCATACCGGCTGGTCCTTGTGGCGGCGGCTATGGCGTCTGCTGCATCTGTGAGTTCCGCAACTGGTGGTAAAGGTGAAGGGTAGCGCCTGTTCTAATCCCTTCGTTCAGTTCTTCAGACGTGCGGCGGTGTCATACGCGAGAACTCCACCTACTTTGTGAATCCCAATCACCCGGATGTCTACGATGGCACCGGAAGCTGCCAGGTAACAGTGCAAAAACTGCATCCGGACATCTGCCAGCTACGCTTGGATCTGGATATGTTCTCGATAGCTCCGCCAGAGGCGGCCAATCATCTCTGCAATCAGGATCAGTTGCTCATATCCGGCGGCAGTCCCACGCCCACCATTTGTGGCAGTTCAACGGGGGATCACAGTGAGTTTCCGTGCTTTTAGAACAGCTTGAGTACCGGAAGAAATTGAAACAGTCATTCCACTATCAGTCTGACATTATATAAAATATTCTCTGCATTTGAAAACATAACTTTTTTTAAACATAGAATGCTACAGCTTAATCATGTTGAATGAGAAGATACGGCACCAAAACTAGTGTGTAAATACTTACTTTTATGAGCACTTCTCAAGATTAGCTCCGCAAACATAACCGTCTGCCTTCTCAATGCCAACCTTGTGTTTTCGCAGTGTACATTGACGCGGGTCTCGGCCAGAGCAATCCGATTGTTTTGTCGGTGATCACCAGCGCAAGTTTTCCGCGCCTGTGGCGCATCCGGGTCACCCAAATCCACTGCGGAAGCATCAGTCGAGCGGACCAAGGCTGTCTGCAGTACTACACTGCAATTAGTGGGCGTGTGCGCAGCTTTAATTACAACTCGGTGGGCGGAAGACAGCTGTCCAATCAGGACTACAGCATCTGCATCCGGAACGAGCGCAACTTTTGCGGCATTCAGTACAACGCATGTCCGGATCTGGAGAACAACAGATCCAGATCGTTCACACTCACTGGCAACTCCAACAATCCGGTGGCCACGATGGTGGGCGGTGGAGGGGGCATGCCACCCAACCTAAACGGCTGCACAAGCGACTGGCTACTGATTGGCTGCATTCGATCGGCGGACAGGATTCCACCTCTGCCAGGATGCGAGGATCGCGTCTGCGGAGGCACTTTTAGTGCGGAGGCCGGAATGCTCGCCAAAACAGTGCAATGTATGTAGATCCTACCCGATAAAAAAATGAAATATTTTCTTTAATATATGCCCACAGCAAGTGTTCGTCCTTTCCGGCTTTATTTCCACACGGACGGAGTGGAAGCGCCCAATGATATAGACAACCGAGGCTTTTGCCTCGATTATGTTCAGCAGCCATGCACAAATGGCTTTTAGGCAGCAGCCCACAAGTATGCAATACTCTTTAACGCAAAAGGCATACGAGTTCCACGCGACTAAAATCGCTGGGAAATTTTGATCGGCGCTGCAAAAATCGCAGGAAAAACGCACCAATGCTTCGTATGTAAATAAATATGTTTTATTTATTGATTTTCGTAATTAAGTTAGACATAACATTAAGGCTTAAGATAATTTAGAAAGCACAAACCGTGTCGTGTTGTTTTGGTACAAATTTAATGATGCCGTACAGGATATCGAAATTTCTTGTGATCCAAATTCTAACATTAAAATCGTTTTCAACTACTAATACAGGTTTATTGAATTACGTTTAATTAATAATACTTAGCAGAAGCAAAAACAAAAATTAAATAACAGAAAAACACGATGAAGAACGCTTTTGTTTAAGGACTTTTCGTTGCAGTGTTGTTGTTGGTACTCGACGCTGCCGTGGCAAATAAAAATATTAAAACAAGTACCAATCATGCGCACGTTGTCGTATAAAAGGGGTAATTTCTGGGTTCGCTTGCTCGCCTGAGATCGCCAATTTCAGTCTGTGCGCGTAGTGCCCGACTTGTGACGTCACTGGGATGGGTTATCTCGGATGTGATGCGGGTATCTACGATGTACATACACTCGTAAGTATGTGCTTATCCTAATAGGTTTGTATTAAGGCAGCCACGTGCTGTTTCTCCTCCTCGGTCAGACCGTTTTTCAGCGTGCGACGTACTGCAAAATACATTGAATATTATAACAGAGATAGAGGTATACGATCTTTAATTAGTTGGCATAGGCTATCATTCAATGTTAACTCTGTAGGGCATGCTGGTTAGTTGCCTGAATTTTGGAATATACGTTGAACCACATGCAAATGTATATTATATATAAAACTTTCAGGGCTTTCAAGTTTGGGTTTTACCATGCTTAAGAACCGGATCTTAACAAAAGCCAAAGGTTCCAAAAATGAAGCTGAGTACAAGTGTCAGCCAAAGGTAGTTAACAAACATATCATAAGAAAGAAGGTGTAGAACTAAACACAATTCAATTCACTAACCAAAAAAGGTAAAACCTAAAAAACAGTTGGCTGTTCTTTTGGCCACGGTTACGGATTCGGTTAACAGTAACGGTTTCTACGGCGATGGTGCTCTTTCAACTGTGAATCCTTCGCGCGTGCGGCTGCGCTTCACTTCGATAGTCAATATATCAGATTGGTTGGGTTTGGATTTATTTGATTTGGTTTTTATTGGTTTGTTGGATTGGTGCGTTAATGGTAAGAGAACGAGATGGAGAAAAATTAAAACCCAATATAGGCAACAGATTCGTAAGCTGGCAAAACTAAGTGGGGCAAAAGCTGCGTAATCGGGAATATATTATAAATAAGTGGGGGAAACTGCAGGTATTTGTGTAAATTTGGAATTTTGTGTGGGAAATAAGTATCTGTGTACTATATATATATAGTTTCTCTGTGGAATTACTGATGGTGTAGTGTGTTCTGGTTGAAAGTGTCCAGCTAGAGGTTATAGACATAGCGCGCTGTGTGCGATTCGAAAAGATATAGGCCAACACCTTTTCATTAAAACGTATTCTCACTGTCGGAGTTTTGGACGTGGATCTCATTCGTATTACTAGTGCGGCCAACTTACATGATTTGCGATCCGCGTGGCGCGTCCGTTTCCGTTCCCTCGGCGTTGTCCGGGTGCCTGGAGCCTTGGTGGCGGTCTTGACCAGGGATTCCAAGATCTCATCGTCGCCATCGGTGAACTGCTCCTCGCTTTGCCGCGTAATTGGTGAGCGGAGCTGTTCCGCTCGTCGCCTCCGCCAGGTGAGTGTGCCATCGGCCTGGTCGGCACTCGATGTGTCCAGCAGTTTTCTGGAACATTAACTCAATTAGTCTAGATGCCAAGTTTTTACTAAATATATAACGGCTAAGGTCAAAGAACTATAGACGCGATAAGGAAACTACAACCTTCCAGCTCTAAATCACTTCAAAATGTTCATTAGAAATTCAGGTCATTTTAGTGGAGATAAGATTTCCCCGTGGTTTGATTTATCACATCAAAATGTATACTAAATGTCATGTTAATATTATTAAACGTCTTCCGATAAGAATTGGTCAACGAATTAAGACTAATAAGCTCACTTCAACTCATCATCGGCCACGTCATCTTTGGTCTTGAACTTGGCCATGTCGATGATCAGCTTTCCACGGGTCTTGTTCCGCTCCCGGTGGTTGGCCTTCTTCTCCAGCTGCTGCTGCACCCGCTCCCGGGTGGTGCGGTATTCCAGGGCGAACTCGGAGAGAGTGCGGCAGAATTCGTTGGGACGCGATTCCGCCACACTGTGCTGCGGCATTCCCAGCCACAAAAGGAACTTCCGGTAGCGATTCATCACGCGTCGATGGACGATTTGCAGGATAATGATGCGCTCCGCACAATCGGCCAGGAAGTCCACCAGCTTCTGCTTCAACGGTGGCGGACAGTCGTGTTTGGCAATTAGCTTCAGGCGATCCCAGCATGCCTTGCACTCCGCCTCCAACTGATTGAGATTGTGTGCCAAGTCCGTGAAGTCCGCCTTGGAGGCTCGGGTAATGGGTCCAATCTCGGAGTACAGATCACTGGTATCACTGCTCGATTCCATGACCATGTGGCAGAGGTGGTGCAGCAGCGAGTGTTTGTGCACCGTGTCCTTCACTTCCGGAACCTTTGCCAGATACTCGATCTGGAATCCCTTGACGGGAGCTCCATTCAGAAAGATGCCCACAGACAGCAGTGTGGAGAGGATGCTGCGGAAGGTGCGATTCTGACGCAGGATCTCAATGCCTTGCTTGAGGTCCATCAGGGGTTCCGCAATCTCTTTCTATGGATAAATAGGGGAATGGTGATGTTAGATGAGTCAGTCTTCTTCTAATCTCCAGCGTTATAGCTTACCTCACTGTTGTCAAAGTCCAGACGGAAAGCCCACAACTTCAGGCGGGCTTCCAGCTCCGAAATGGAGGCCAGGGTCAACAGGAACTGCTCGGCACTGCCCAGGGGCAGCTCCGGGTTGGATAGCTGGGCCTCCTGGATCTTGCCACGCTCCTCATCGGTGGGCAGCATATTGAGTAGCTTATCGATTCCCTCCCGAGTGACCACGGTGGCATCCATCTTGAGGATGGCCGTCTTAATGGCCCTCGGAGGAGGCAGCTTGGTGATCGCAATGTTGATGGCATTGGAGCGCTTGTGATCAAGCACGATGATCTCTTTGCTCTTGTTCAGCTCTTGTTGTTTCTGCAAGGTCAGCGGGATATAGTTAATACCTTTCGATCAGGCTGCGATCGGTCGGAGATAAGAACACAGTGGTGCAAAGAGAAAACGAGAGTGTTGGGTGCAGAATTGGAAGTGCGGAATTGGAGTGGAGTCTCTGTGCTGTTCTGTACTGTTAGCAACTAGATCGTTTCTTCAAGTGTACGTGGGTGTGATAGAGTGTATAAGAAATAGTGATATTAACCAGCACCAAAACACAAAACATAATGGGCAATAGATCGTGAGTTATGGTGAGACGTATGTTTGTAGAGATAGAGAGACAAAAAGACAAACAAATTTAATAACGTTTTGATTGGCACTCACCTCCTAGAGACATTGGAAAACATTTGAATATTTGAGAATTATTTGCATTTTGGTTTGAGTTTAGCACAACATTTATGTAGATTTATCCGCAAACAGACCGTTCGACATTTAGGATTAAGAATTATACAAGATATCCATAAATAGAAGGGGAAAGAAGAATACAAAAATCATTCGCATTTTGTTAACGCAACACACACTTAAAGGAGAGCCTATTACTAATTTAATCACAATTATCGTAGATCCATTGAATTTCGAGAACCTTTGACCAATTGGGTGTTACATAAGGTGTTACAGAGGTGTCTTTGGTTAGAGGATTACGAACCTTGGTCATCAAGTCTTTGGCCCGGGACTCAAAGAGATGTTCGAGCTTCTGGGTGTCCACGTTGGCATCGGGCAGCTCATCCCAAATGGTCTTGCCCACCACCTGCGGTATCATGTCCTCGCGCACTTCCTTCCAGAAGAGCTTGACCTTTGGGTGTATTTCATACAATATGTAAGTCCCCATTTTTGATATCAAACAATGATTAAGCTCACCGTTTTCTTGTTCTTTTTGATGGTGTTATTGCCATTAACCAGTTCCCCATTTATGGAGCCATTCAGCGAGTTGACACTGTTGGTCAGACTGCCGCCATATCCGTACATGGGTGGAGGCGCCAGGCTGGGCGGCATCATGGGCGGTGGGGCAATGGCTCCACCCAACGGGGGTGGCGGCGGGGGTATTCCTGCGCCCAAACTTCGGGGGGCCAGCACATCCTTCTCGTCATCGTCCCTCAGGTCCGTAAAGTCCAGATCGCAAAGATTCAGGGGCCTTGTCATGTTCCTAACCAGTTCCTCCCAGTGAAGTTCGTTTTCCGACTTCTTGGGCTCAGACTTCTTTATGTCCTGATCGACACTAGAAGATCTGCAAAGGGAACAATGTTTAAGACACCTTATTATAGCTTTTATCTTACTCTCCTACTTCCAGCTAAGTGTGCTATCGCGGTAAAATGTATAGGGGGGACCATAAACGACCTTATCTCCGACAAACTAAGGCCAGCACTTCACATGATAAGAAATCAAAAATCAGGCAACGAGAGGGAGAGGAAAGTTACTTTCTAGGGATTTGAGAAAGCCGATGACGAAGTGTGATAGGCTAGGCGAGCAACTTAACTCTTACGAAACTGGTACATAAATCTAATCTATTAAATTTGCACAATGGACTCCCACATTATCGGCTTGCAGTGGTAACCCTTATCGATTTCTATAGTATATACAGATAATTGTTGTCAACTATAACTACCCCTTTTTTCGGGCGGTATAAAGGCGGTGCACTGACAGGGACAAGTCACATTTGTCCAGCATAACTCCAGCAATATGGCCGACGTAAGTTAATGATCGCAAAGATCGGGACCCAGAACTCACTAACTCCCCTGCGATCTGCAGTTCAACGCTATCCTCGAAAAGACCAAGGCCTTCAGCAAGAAGCCCCCAACGGAGGTGTTCCTGGAGTTCTACGGCCTGTACAAGC